ACTATACAACCATGTGAAGGTGGCCACTAGGTTTGGCAACCTACATTCACCGTCCATACTGGATTTAGTGTTGACCAATGAGGAGCTGATGGTAGACTCTGTCAATGTGACTTCGGCCCTAGGACGCAGCAGTCATGGAGTACTTACACTCACATAGTTCTGTTACGCTTCGATTCAAGGAAGTTCCTCTGGTAACTTGCGTAGATCTATAGACTACACATTGTTGAATAACTTGGCGCTCTCTGCTCAGTGGGTTTCTTATGACGAAAAATCTAATCAGTTGGTGGCATGAAAAAAAAATTTATTGACAATCTCACAAATATAATAACATCCGTGATTGAAACTAGAGTTACCACCAAATTCGACATCCCAAATTCACCAATTGGAAGCCGCACAAAGAAATGGCTATCGGCGTTGGATATGTCCTGATGAGATTATAATCGTCTACCGACTGGTGTTACATGAAATAATTACCGTATGCTTAGGAACTTGCACCAGGCTGATTCGTGAGGGTAAAGAGAGAGATACCAAGAGGCGCTAGCTCAAAAATTCATTTCTAACACTAAACCGTTGTACCAACACGTCAACTCCATTCGGAAAGTAAAGTTTCGTAAACCGGTACTAAGTAGAGGTGGAAGAGTTGCAGCCACTCCAAATGAAGCAGCTGAAATGCTGAAAATTCATTATTCCAATGTCTTCGCAGCACCGCAGGTTTACAACCAACGAACTATAGCAGTTCGTGTTTCTGATTCCATATCCGGATCTACCATAGCCACTCGCGGTGTTTCAGTCGGCTAAATTGGTAATGAGATTGAACGATGTATAACGTACATTTCAACCCGGGTCGCAATTACATTATATTAAAGTCTGTTTCACCGAAAAATATTTATGATAATTATGATTCCTGTTCAGGGAAGCAAGCAAATATCTATCACAAATATCGTTCTCACCTTGATATACTCATTTTGTCACATCAGTGTCAATGTTTCGTTCGTTAGCTCTGCAGTTCTCACTCAGTTCGATTTCCCCAGATAGTTGGGAATACCTGCCTCCTGATCGGTTGTCTAGAAGCTGTATCGTGGTGTGTGCCTAGTGCTGTCCGATCTTATTGTATTATAATTACTACTGCCACAAATGCAGGAATAGAACCGCCCACGAAACTTTCAGATCAATCTATGAGTAAATTATAATACTATCATGAGAAGAAACAGTTTTATGATGAGTCCTTTATTGAGCTCGTTTCTTTCGAGTCCATTGCGCATCTAAGCATCTTAAGTATCTGGTAC